AGCAACCAGCCGGAGAAGAAGGTAAAATAAAAGAAATAAAAGAAAAAAAGAAAAAGATAATTAAAAATTTGATTTTAAAAAATATTAATAGTAGTGTATGGAGAAAAGATTTTTCTACCGAGCGGCGGAAAATATTTTCCTAGTCGTTTTTAGATTTCGGCCGAACATCGAAAAATTGTGTCATTTTTCTAGAAAATGACTTCTTGGAAAATATTTTCCAGAAATATTACATTTTCCGCGAAACGAACAGAGCCTAAGGTTTTGTTTGTTTCGCGAAAAATGAATGATTTGGAAAATATTTCTCAAAAATGATTACTTATATTGCTTACAAAAACCAATGAACGAAAAATATTTACATTGTCCACAAAAATATTTAGACATAAATTATTGTCAATAAAGAAAACATTTTTCAATGGTTAATTATTTTAAGCAATACAAGTGATCATTTTTAGGAAAATATTTTTCAAATCATTCATTTTTCGCGAAACAAACGGAGCCTAAAAGAAGTTGGCAACTTACTAATTCATTAGAATATTGACAAATTTCTTGTAGGATAGATGCTTAACTAAATACACTTGTAACGATTCAAAGATGTTGATAAGTTTCGAACTTACTGGAATGTCGTTAAGTTTATTATAGTGTGGGTAGTTTACTAATGGGTTTCCTGATATTCGAGTTACCACGGTCATACTTTTTTTACCAATGTTATTAGAAAATTACCAGCAACTTCAGAAATCTACTACAAAGGAAAATTTTCCAGCTTTTCCCTTAACCGGACCTTGGAATCGTCTAAGAAGTCCAATTAGCGTGTCTTCTCATCCATAATTCAAGAGAAACACCAATCCTAATTCTCAAATTTTTCAATATGTTAAATACGGCATGCTAGATAAGTCTAGCATTAGTATCATTGCTAATTGTTTGTCCTATTGTTGAACAGAACGGTTGAATTGGTGTGAGGAGAAGACGAAAAAAAAAGGACCTGAGTAACTTTCAGTTCTGTAGAAGCAAAATGGTCGGTAATGGTATTGCCAAATTTCTGTTTATTTGTTTGTACTGCATTTTTCATGTTCATGAGAACAATTCTTTCCGTCAAAAAGAAAAGGAATTGCCGAGCTGCATGGACAAACTTGCGCGACCCTGAGGATCATGGTCTGTTTATACTTCCCAAAGTTCTCTTAATAAGGCATTGGAAGATATGAAACTAACTCGTGCATCTCATGTTTACTGAATCAAAAGTCAAACTGTCAAACTGCCTTTTATTCAGAAGAAAGTCGGACATGCCAAATTGAATGAGTTTAGCATATGAGGACACTGAATACGTGAATGAATTGCGCTGAAAATATTGAAGTAACTGAAAATTGGAAGACAGGAAGATATCCAGGACACTAAAGGGTAGGGGTGAACTCAAGTGCTCAGAACGTTGAAACTACTTGCAAATGCGGATGAAACCAATGTAAAGGAGACCAGCTCTGAGCTTGAACACCTAATTTTCTCTCCCTCTGGGAAGCTTTATTTACATGAGGATCTTCTCTCAATGACCCAAATCTAAAGGAAAAGGGATTCACGGTCTCTCAGCTTGTTGGTCCTCACTGATTTTAATTTAAGCAATTGGCCTTTCTTAACCAGCAGCTCGAATTTTAGACCTTCAACGCTAGCTTCTGAGCAGCAAGAGCTTCAGCCTCAAGGGTGGGCTCCCATAAAATGGTAGTTTCAGCAAGTAACGAGGTCACGACGTATGGGTCCATGTTTGAGGCAAGACGCCCGTCTTCCAAGTAACCTGTTTATCATTTTAAGCCATTAAGTGATTGAGCAAGGAAGGTCAACTTTGTTTTATCGATGTGCAAAAACAGTAAGATGTCCAACTGAGATGTCGAAGTCTTAACTATGATCATGTTCTGTATATGTTGGATGAGTAAGGACTGATATGAAGATATACATTTGTCGAGGAAGCACAGTTCCTTCCGGTGGCTCGTGCAGTCCATCCAGAGCCGTATTGCGACACCGTTTTCTCCGTTAAACTCAACGTAGAGACTACTATGTTATGTGAAATTTTCATGATTTTTGAAAATATAGAAATTTCTGTTATTACTCAGAAATTATGAAAATTGTGAAAATCATGGACATCCAAAACTTTTCAAGTCAATCTGGTTAGTTCAAATATAGATATTGGTCGTGGAAAATTCTAATTCCTTTGAAAAGTTCGGTGCAATTATTGAAGAAAAAAAGTTAGCGTGCACAATATTGGAAATATCTATTTTTTTTTCTATTTTCTGAAAAATAATATAAGCTATTTTCCTCAAAGAATGATTATTTTCAGATGATTCGCAAAGTCAAATATATTTTTGGGACATGTGGTGCGTGTCAGGGCCACGGCCATGAAATCGAGTCTCGGAGGGCATTTACATGATATTTGTCCAAACGGGCTTTTCAGCCCTAGTGCATTTGGCTGTTGTTTAGGGACGGAGGAAATCTGAGATTGAGTTTTGCGGTTTGAATTAGCGATTTATCGCGGTAATTAATTTCTACCACTTCCATATTTTGTAAAATTTACATGACATTGATTTACCGAGAAAAAGCTATATTGTGATGTGACATAGCATGTATTTTTAAAGTATATAAATAAATATTATGGTATGTTGTTTTGGAAAACTCGATCCAGCATTGGATACTTTTGAGCTTGTCGTGAATGTTTTTTGGAAATATTTTAAATTAAAATGCTATATATATATATTGTGTGTGTGTGGGCACACGGACCAATATTGTTTCGAGGCTTAATCACGGCCGACGTGATTTACATGGTTTATTCATAGTTGATGTGATTTTTGGAGCTTAACCATAGCGAATAATATTTTTGGGCCTTGTCAAGGGCGTAGTGCCACCTCGAGGCGAGCGAACAGATCACTAAGGGAGCATGGATAGTTCCTCTTACGAGGTGACGTCATAATTGGTTCAGGTTTTCCCAAATCCTGCTATCGCGATTTGGGTTGACTTAATCATTCAAATTTTGTTCTTTTTTTAGGAGTCGCCATTAACTTATTTGAGGCTAGTTAGAAGTCAAGTGAAATGAGGGAGATCACTTCACTTCCGCAAATCAGAGATTCGGGAACATGACTTCATTAAGCTAAAATCTATTGAGCACCCAATTTTGGTACCTTTTCTCATTATTTTCTAAATGTGTTTGATCATGCGATCTTATCCATTCTTATTCTCCAAGCGCACCCATCTAAATGATCATGCATCCGTGAAATTGTGCAATTATGTCCATCAATCACTTAATCACGTAACAATGTAATCACACAACATCGCCAAAAATGAAAGTAAATAAAGTACGGAAAAATAAAGAACCCAAGCCGCATGGAACAAAATTAAATAAAGCCTCATTATTATGCCTCGGGATAGGAATCCCACGAGTGGTACCCTAAGCTAAGCATGTGATTACTTTAATCTATGGAATGCAAATTCTCGCAACATGCCTAAGTCGGATTAAGCCCTAAATTTCATGAACGTATTTCTTATCCTTCTTATTATTTTTCAAAAAAATATCCTAAGCATCTAGATGGCACATCTAGCAAATTCTAACCTAAATCTATGGGCGATAATATGGTGGGATGATCTTGAAAATGATAACAATGCGGAATAAACATGCTCCCTTTCTTATCATCATTTTTAGATTATAACTATGAAATGTCCGTCCTAAATGCATGCTGGACAATACTAAAATAAACAAAATGAATAAGAAATTGACAGTCTTCGAATGTCGCGATAACAGAAATGTCGCTCCAAATGAGCAGTTCCGGTGATTTCATAGCAAAAGAAATGTTAGCCCATGAAATACGATTATATAATAGTGCAAACCTAATGCGCCTCGACGGAAAGCTATTGGAAGCGACCTGAATTGTACAAGCAAAAGCATGTATATATGGATCGAACTTCTGAAACGTAGCCCATCGTTCTAGACATATATGACGTATTGACGTGTGGATGCTCCAATGTTGTCAACAAAAAACATGCAACGTCCATTCGGATGATACCAATCTATAGGAAAATTTAGATCTTGTTACCTGCGGACAAAAAACAAACTGGGCACAATCTTTGCTTCTTTTTTTGGCTTCACAATTTTTTTCGTGATTTGCTTCACGACTTTCTTTGAACAAGAGCTGCACCAACGTTGGCAAGAAAACTCATGCAATGAGTCATTGGTTTCTAGAACTTGACCATAAGATTCGATGAGAAAGAAACGACGATATACCTGTCCTGAGAAATGGAGGCACCCCCGTCGTTGAGTAAATCGGACGATCAGTCCAGGTAACGCGATGGGACGACTTGGTTGCCTCTCAATGACGGCCTGTTGCATTTCGGCGTTGGGCTGGTATTAACCCAGCTGCGCATCAGTCACGGATAGGGCTGCTCTTGAGGGTGACGACTGAATGACGTGGCCAGACTCACGACGGAGAGGACTTGCGACTAATGGAGGAAGAGAGGCCACCTCTTCAAATGATGAAAGAGCCGTCAGAGTGGGAGCTTGAGAAAGATCCAGAGAATAAGAGCGGAGCTCCTGATGGCGTAGTGTGTCTTAATGGATTCGGAGTCTTGCGTGTATGCGAGAATCTCTACGGAAGATCCAAGGGAAATGAATGTGGAGAGAGTCGGAGCTGGAGCTGGCCCGTCTGGTTTGCGCTGGCTGAAGGAAGAAGAACGGAGAGAGGGGGCCGTGCGTGTCCGTTTTCCAGCAGAGAGAGAGAGAGAGAGCAGGGGTGTCGCCTGAAGGAGAAGAAATTCAGAGGGAACCATTAGGAGCTTGAGAGAGCCTCCTGAAGAAGAGAGAGAGAGAGAGAGAGAGAGAGAGAGAGGGGTGTTGTGCGCTGGTGACATCATTACGCCATCTTCTTTCGCTTCGTGACTTCTATCCGTCAGCCACCATCTCAAAGGCCATCCACTCAAAACTCACGTACACGGCCACAGCACAATCGAAGCAAACAGAGAGCAAGAGACGCGATAAACAAACCGGTGCAGACAAGTGTAGAGGTTGACACTCAGCACCATCCCTCAGACGTTTTTCACAGGCGATCACCATTGACAGTCACCGAGAACATGCCGAAACACAGAGTAAAAAAGGCAACAAAAAGATTTGTTCACATTCAATTGAGATAACAATGAAATGTAAATGGAATCAAAGCTTTGCGTTACCAAAATGATTAATCTGCACCAAAAGGCCCTCCGATTGCGCAAAAAACATACGCTATTTCGTAACAGTGTCTGAGAGGTATTTTAACAAACAGTTTGTGTGTATTGAGAACATTGAATCTGGTCACGAAATCAAAGCAATTTTTCCTTCTAAAAACAATATCGTCACAGATAATCAGTAAAAACTTCATATTCTCATTGATTTATACATGAGTGATACGAACGCGACTTGGTCTTGTATGTCGCAAAAACGACGCAGAACAGGGGATGATGAAGTTACCAGGTTAACAAGACGAGATGAATCAGCAACCGGAAAATGGATTGACGAACGAAGCGTATATGATGTTGACAATCGAAATCAAATCCAGCAGAAATAAGTCAAGCGAGATCCGAGCACTTCGGTCTTCTCGGTAGGGAAACAAAGCAAAACAGAGAGGCCACGGCGTGGAGTTTAAGGCAGCGTATGGCGACGGCGGAAATAGCTATTAGTCGCCTGAATTCGTTGAATAAAGTCTGCAAAGTCAGATAAACTAGTGAGATCGTTTTCTCTGTACTCCCCGCGGCTTCAAAAAAAAGAAAAAGAAAACCGATGCTCCGTTTTCCGATCCTATTATGGCCGACCTCAAAGCAGTCGGAGATGGAGGTACGACGGTCAACGGCGACGATCGGCAGCGGCGAACAGCGTCCGGAGGGCGACGGTGGATGAAAGTCGATGAAGGAGCCTCTGAAAATCCAGGAAGAGACCGAGAGACCAGTGTTACTGACTGTACCGAAATCGGAAACCAAAGGAAGGTAGATAGAACTTAGCTTTTGCGGTGATTGGACCATGAAGAACTGAGTTCCGATCGTCTGAGCAGAACTGAGGAACGTCGGATTCGGGATTGGATATCGTCGGAGACTGGATCGACACGGAATAGCTGGAACTCGGTGCTTCTGGAGGAGCTATGGAGTTCTAGAGAGCTATCCGTGAACTGAGGGATAGGTGGAATTGGCATCTTGTAATAGATCCTTGTTTCGAAATTGTAGTATTACATGAGTTCTTACCAATGACACAAAACTCGCTTCATTTGATCATTTATAGAGTGAGAACCGAGCACATGAAGTTGGCACCTCTTGTAACGTCGCACAGATTCTTCGGGCGACTCGTGCGGTCCATTCAGAAGTCGAATTGCCCCCCGTTTTCTCCATTTAACCCGAAAAAAGAGAGTACTTTGTTCTGTGAAATTTTCATGATTTTCGAAAATATGAAAATTTTATGTTGTTCATCAAAAATTAGGGAAATTGCGAAAATTATGGACGATGGTTTTCTCGACATCCAAAAATTTTCGAGTCGATCTGGTCTGTTCGGATATAAATATTGATGGTGGAAAATTCTAATTCATAGCCTTTGAAAAGTGCAATTATTATAGGAAAAAGTTAGCACGTGCAATATTTTAAAAAATCTAGTTCCCGATTTTCTAAAAAGTGTATAAATTATATTGTGCAAAGAATGATTGTTTTGGATGATTCACAGAGTTTAAGTAATTTTTGGGTCATTGTGGTGCATATCGGGGCCACGGACTTGGCATCAAGCTTCGGAGGGCATTCACGTAATTTTACATCTGAAAGGGGTTTTTGGCCCAACTGCATTTAGCCATTGTTTAGAATTACTAATTTCTATTAACGACATTGAATTAGGTTTAGGGGCTGAGGAAATTGAAATTGAGTCGTGCGGCTTGATTTAGCGATTTATTGAGGTAAGTAATTTCTAAACACTTCTATATATTTTTAAAAATTACATGACACGATTTGCCAAGAAAAAGTTATATTGCGATATGCCATGTATTTTTTAAGTATAGAAATAAATATTATTTCATGGCGTGCTCTTTTTGGATCAAGCATTGGATACTTGGATACTTTTGAACCTATCATAAATATTATTTGGAAATATTTTAAGCCGAAATGCTCTCTCTCTCTCTATTATATATATATATATATATATATATATATATATAGTTGAGGCTTAATCAAGGCCGGCATGATTTATGGGCTTATTCATAGCTAATGTGATTTTCGGGGCTTAACCAATAATACTTTTGGCTTTGTCATGTGGTGAAGTGTGGCTGTAGGATTTTTTGATCTTGAGTTTGATATATGCTCGTTATATTACGTGGGTTTATGATATATTTACATAATTTATGATTCATTGGAGTAAGCAGAATGCTTTTTACATGGGAAAATGCTATGAATGTGATCGTCTTGATACATTGATGCATACTTGTTTCCAAAGGTACATTATTCTTTGCTTGATCCCATAGAAGTGGTGTCTGTCACTTACTGAGCTGTGGTTTTCCTCTCTCATTTTTACTACCATTTCAGGTTTCGAACATGAGAAAGTTTAATCAAATGCACATGGAGAGTGATTCAGGTGCGGCATTGGAATTTACTGAAGACTATTAGAGTAAAGTTTATCAAATTGGATTTATGCATTTCTTGTAATTGGTTAATTCATGATTCAGTAGACTTTGTTATAGTTATCAAGGTTTTGCTTAGTCAATATATATTTCTTTAAAATCACTATTTTAGGTTGAAGGCTTGGTCCTTCATATTTTTTAAAAAGGATGGTCGGTCATTTCTTAAGTTCTCGGTATATATGTGGGTTCTGACAACTATTAAGAGAAATGAAAAAGATCGTGAGTATTTTCTAGACTGCATACGCAGATCGATGCGCTATGGGGACTATGAACGGACTCGACTCATACATTTATAGTTCTCTATGTGTTATTCGCAAAGGAGACTGAACTTGGAGTTATGTCAACAGTTTTTTGAATTGAAAATCCTCCAAATTATTGAATTCCTCTTATATAATAAGATAAAATGCAAGTTGGCCTTTGGAAGCGATAGTCTCTCTACGATAGGGATCTGGAGTGTCGCACTCCTTTAACTCAAAAGGAAGTCAAAATTGCTAAATAAATCAGAATCCCTACAATTAGTAAATTCAAAGTTCTAAAACGTGCATGAGCCTTTGAAAAAATAGGGGCTTGCTTTGGATTCTTTGTGATGGTCCCAAGGGTACCTCACCAAAGTAGGGGAAACCGAAGTTTTCAATTGGGGCCGTCCCGCCTGTCTAGGTGTATATACCTGGTAAGCTGACATGATGCGTTCCTTATTTTAATGTGCCGGTGCCCGCACGCCTAGCCATCTTAATTGGAGATAAAGTTTTTCTTTTCTCTCTCCAAGAACTACCTCTGAGTTTTTATGTTCCAGAGTTCGGACGAAGTAGTTTAAGGAAAACTTGGAGTTATGTCAAAAGTTCTTTGAATTGAAAATCCTCCGATTTAATGAATTACCTCTGATATAATAAGATAAAATGCAAGTGGGCCTTTGGAAGCAACTCTCTGTACGATATGGGATCTAGAGTGTCGCCCTCCCTTAATTCAAAAGAAAGTCGAAATTGCTAAATAAATATCCCTACAATTAGCGCGTTCAAAGATAAAAACGTGCATGAGCCTTTGAAAAACAATTACAGAGAATTTCCAGACTATATTGTTTCAAATCTGCTAGTTTTTTTGGGGGGGGGGGGTGGCGGTTCAAAAACATTCCAGTTAAACACCCACGATTAATCTAAAAGAAGTCATTCTAGCTAATAATCTAGTAACTAATAAGAGATAACTGGCAAATGGTAAAAATTACTAAGAAAGTGTTCATTAGGTAATGATTGCTGTGAGAATAAATGAAGTTGTGCATCCTTTTGAGTGCACATAGTTATATTGACTACTCACAGGACTTACCTGCTTTAGTTAAACTATCAAAAATAGGTTTGAATAATTTTAGATTAGACAAACATTTTACATTGAGAATGTATCTAAGCTACCTTCTCCATCATTTGTGCAATACAGCTCTAGTATATTAAAGCACAGATTAATAGGTGAACTATTTGTATTATGAATTTGTGATAATAACTGTTTTTGATTATTTTATTACCAAATTGGATCTGTTAATAATAACTTTAAATTATGACAAGCCTTATATTTCTTTTGCTGTCTACTTTAACCTTCTATCACTTAGCTCATTATTTAAGAATGTAAAATTTGTACTCAATAGTATTCATATATCTACAGTTTGCCTGTGTGGCACAATAAATTACAATTAATAGAATTGTTTTTGTACTAGGGATAATACATGAATTTTGATTTGTTAGGCAACATTTGAAATGGGACAAATACACAACATTTAGAACCGCTTAGCTCCGTCGCTATTGCTGTGCTGGGGTTGGTGACTAGTTGGAGGCTAGGGTTTTTTGAAAAAAGGGTGAATTGGTTTTTAGAACTTCAGAGGTTTTGTCTAGAGATGGAAAGTGTAGATTTCAAAAAGTGGAGATGCAAATTGATATGGATGCAAAAGCAGAAGATGATTTTCCCTTCAAAATTTCCCTTTTATTGAAGAGTATTAACAAACTTTTGAATACAATTTGCTAATACCTTTGTAAATTATTAACTTCATTGGCAATATTTTTTCAAAATAGTAAAAATGAGTTGATAATTTACTTTTGAGTTTAACTTTCATAAATTCCTTACCTTGTTGCCAACTAACTACCGTAAAAGTGGGTTTACATTGGTTGCTTTGCCAAACCTTGGTAATATTGAAGTGCATGTTGGTAAGTGAATACAAATTGCTAAACCTCTTTGTATATTACCAAAGTAAGAATTTGGTATAATGCTAAATTTCTAAATTGGCTGATAACTTACTATTGATCTTTGCATGTTAAATTTCTTACATTGTTGGCAACTTATCGCCTACCTCGATAAGTTACTAATTTGACTAGTAAAATTTTGTTTTTAATGGTTAGTTTCTAAAGTGGTTGATAATTTACTACCCTTAAACTGGGCGAACTTTTGTAACTTTGTCAAATCCTAAGCATCTAGATGGCACATCTAGCAACTTGTAACCTAAATCTATGGGCGATGATAGAGTGGGAATGATATTAATGTGGAATAAACATGCTCCCTTTTTTATCGTCATTTTTACATTATAACTATGAATTATCCATCCTAAATGCATGCTGTACATTACTAAAATAAACAAGATTAAGCAGAAATCGACAGTCTTTGAATATCACGATAAGGGAAATGCCGCTGGAAACGAGCGGTTCCGGCGATTTCATAGCAAAAGAAATGTTAGCCCATGAAATACGATTATATAATAAATGCAAACATGATACACCTCGACCGGAAGCGATTGGATGCGACCCGAATCATACAAGCAAAAGGACATACATTACGGATCGAACTTTTGAAACTAGCTCATCGTCCTAAGGCATTTTACTTCCAATGACAATGAAATGTACGATAGAAAAATCCACTCGAAGTTTCACTATCTCAAAGTAAAAATAAAAATCTTTATGCAACGAGGTGAGAATTCACATTATCGCACGATTGCTATGAAAAAAATAAGAACGACTTCGCTAGAAACCTTCTTCGCACTAGACTATCATGAAATTGTCTTAGCATATATGATGTTTGAATGTTCCAATGTTGTCAACACAAAACATACACCGTCCATTTGGATAATACCAATCTATAGGAAAATTTAGATCTTGTTACTGTAGACAAAAACAAACTGGGCTCAATTTGCTTCAATTTTTCTTTCTTTTTTGAGTTAATACCATCAAAAATCTCAAACGAGTATACTTATGCCAAATTTAACTCAAACTAATTGTTATTTCACAAAAAATCACAAACTGATACTCATGCCGCATTTACCTCATATTAATTTTCGAATCACAAAAAATTTGATCCGGTACACTTGTGCGATATTTACCCAAACTGGTTTGTGTATTACAAAAAATCTCAATGTTTGAGATCAACATGGCACGGGTGTACTAGATTTGAAGTAAATATAGCACGAGTATACCAATTTGACATAAAAATCAATTTGTCAGAAATGTGTCATATGTGTATCAGTTTAGGGTTTTTTGTGATACAAAAATAAATTTCCGTTCAGATTTTTAGTGGAATTAACCCCTTTTTTTTT